GACTGTTCCTTATAGACACAATGATGAGAAAAGCAACTGTACATCCTGGGAGCTTGAATTCAAGAGAAGGAGAAAGACAAAGAGCCATCATACGTCGAGATTGGTATTCAAAATGGGACAGTGGCAATGCAGTGAAAGAAAAGATGGTGTCAGTCTTAGGGACAAGTGGAGACCGGGCCCTAGGAACTGGGTTTAAACCATAAGGGGAAGCTTGCCAGACAGTCCCATGGGAGCAGTGGAGCATTGTCTGTTTAGCCGAGAAGAAAGTAAAAATAAAACTAAACAAAGTGATAATAATTCACAGAGGAAAGGAAGAACATTTTCTTAAAGGAAGATATAGAGTGCTCTATTGTGATTAAGATATAAACAATATGTATATGATAAAGTTGTAAAGGTAAGAGAAGGCTCTCAAATGTCAGGTTAAGAAGTTTGACATCATGAAGAATTAAGGAGCCCTTGGGATTTTTTAGGCAATATATTTACTTGGCCAACTACCTGTTATAATTCACACCTTAATGGTAACATGGAAGGCCTAGAGAGTAGGAATACTAAATGTGAGACCATAAAACAGAAAATGGTGGTCTTGAAAAATAAAAGTGCAAGGTTCTTTACCTAAGATCTATCTTGAAATGCTAAACTGAATATTATTTTGGCTTTTCAATTCTAGGTTTATAGCAGGGCATAAATAGCAAAACATTTTTCTACAAACTACTTGAGTGTCCTTTTCTGATTATTAGGAAATCTTTGAATGTAGGCCCAACATCTCCCTAAGTGACCAGTTTCTCTATAACTGATTGGGATCCTTCCTGAGCCAGCTGTGTGTACCTAGATATATACAGAGTCATCATTGATCAACTTAAAGCCTAATCAAACTCAGTGATAAACATGTCAGATGTGGCATCTGGAGTGTGGGGTCCCAAGGATCAGTCTTGAGAGAGGGGCTGATCTCTGGGTCATGGCTTATGGGAGTCAGGTCAAAGATATAAGAAGCTGTCTAGGGAAAATATTACCAAGATGTTACCAAGATGGTATGAGTTGTGTCTTTGAAGGGGCAATTATTTTCAATGTGCTCCTGAGAGATCAAGGAATTCTGTTGGTCAAATATGGCTATGTGGTGGGGTCAGGATGAAAGGGGACAAGGCAGTAACAGTTACAGAGGGGTTCTCTCATCCCTTACTCCCAATAAAGCAACTCCAAGTCTATCTGTTTCTTTGCTAGATCCCATTTGTAAAGTCTTCTGATTTAAAACATATTTGAAAAGCTGGATTCATAATATAAGGCAAAGCTTGAGGTATGGAATCCTAAATACTAACTAGAGGCACAATACTCATGACAGTTGGTGGCATCCAAACCTAATGCATTTCCTGAGACTTCACATTCTCAGACACAGTGAGAAGGAGGCTAAACCTTTGTAGGTTCTTCTCAGCTCTAGAGAACTGAGAATGGAGAATTGCTGAGTTTCTTTGGCATGCCTCCCTTGGGATTTTCCAGATAGATGAACACAAAACTCTAGAACAGTAAGCACCTAAGTAATAAGGTACCTCAGAACAACTGGTCTCTGGACTTACTGAACAGAAGTGCAACCCAGAGTTGTATTGTTCCCTACTCCCTCCTATGGAGTGCTTAACATGGGCCAAGCCCTGGGAATGCAAGATAGATAAGACACATTCTGAGGTCCAAGGAGTTTTCAGATAAAGGTGAAGAATCTATAAGAAGTAGATAACATACAGTACATATTAGAACAAAGGTGATCACAGGGCCTACTGGAGCAAGGTCAGCCAGTAGAAGCCAGGAAGTGCTTCCTGGGGCAGACAGCCTTGTGCTGGAGTCTGAAGTTGACTCGAAGAAAATGTAACCAGAAAGATCATCATGGAAACCATTCTGGGCAAAGATGACCACTTGGGGCTGCTGTGGTCTAGAGGAAACCTGTGATCTTTTGAAACAGCTAGATTTAGTTTCTAAATCTGACTCTGTCACTGACCAAGCACATTGAAAAGTTACTTCACAGCACCTCTGTGTTTTTTTTTTTTTTTGGTTGTTGTTTGTTTGTTTAACTTTAAAATGAAGCAAATAAAAACAAACAACCTTCCAAATGAAAGTGGAATGTTGAACAGGAAAGCCAACTGGGATGAAATTTGTGTACTAAGCCAGGGAGTGTAGCTCCATCCAGAAAGTTCAGACAAATTTTAACAGAATGTGACTACCTTCCCTTTGAAGAAGATTACTTATCATTATGTTTAAGTCCTTTTTATAAAAACATATAGATTTTCTATTCTTGTTTTTTTAAGTGGCATTGGTTACATCTATGTTTAGTTTTAAACAAATGATATGGATTTTGCCTGAAAACATTTTAAAAAGAAGAAAAATCAGCTAGATATAACTTGAGTGTACCAACATTAATAGAACCATTTAAAATTGTTATGAGGTACTTACTGTTGACAAAAATCCATTCCATTATATACATATGTATTCCAAGAGCATTTTTGGAAAAAAGGACCCAACTGGAGCTCAAATCAGATTGATTTTTAATTTCCAGATCGTGAACATCTTATCTCTGTTCATATGCACATTATAAAATACCAGGTGGCTTTTATATTGTAGTGGTGTTAATGTATATTAAAAAAATTTTTAAAAAAGATTGAGATCAAATAAGAGATAACATTGATAACAATGTGTTAACAAAATTCTAATGCACTCCTGGTTAGGACAGTTAATTTACTTTTGTGTTTATTAGGTTTATAGACAACTCATTCCTTCTGCCCACTGTCTATGGGACTATCAATTGCAGTGTTTACCATTGGTGCAAGTCTGTGTAAGTGCATAGGGCTGGGAAACACTAGGGAGAAGATGGAAGTAGAAAATGAAGCAAGTGGGAGGCCGAGGAGGGCCCAAGGACAGGGGTATTAGTTTTGGGACTGAGGATTCTTCAGAGACAAGGGGACTTGGAAATGCTGGGCAGGAGGCTAAGTGACCTCCTAAATCTCCAGAAGGCAGACTCTTAGCTTCCTGACCAAGCAGCTAAAGAAGATGCTGCAGAAGGTGATTAATTCATTCCTCACCCCAATCCTGGGCCCTTCTCCTCTCACCGTCTTTCCAAACATAGGACTTATTTAGAAAAGTTATGGATGAATTTTCTTCTATTAGGATTCTGGAAAAATGTGTTAGTGAGTGGTTTCAGAATATTGTGTTGGGGTACTTTGAGAGGCATGGATTTCATCAGAATTTTTAAGAAAATAAGAAATATTAGATGGTAGAAGAATTAGTTGAAGTATTTTCACCTCAAATTAGGATACTGGAGATGCTTCAGAACACTGTAAGGGAGACCGTCTCTGTTGAGATTACTGGTAACTAAGAGGAATGATTGTGAAGTTCATGTCAGTAAGGATATATAAAATGAAAAGTAATTTCTAAAATGGAAAAATATGTAAATAATACCTGTGCAAGCATAAATTACCCTAACAGTAGGATAGAAAGGAAGTCCAAATAGCCTGAAGAATGCGGTATTTATCACCATGCCTAGCACATAATTATCCCACACTGATTCACTTTATTGGGTCAAATTAAATATTAAAACACGCAGATTCTTAGAATTAGAAGAAGCCAGAAAAAACAGAGTTACTGTCTTGGGTGATGGTGATATAGACCTAAATCATTTTGTTTCATTTAGTTTTAGATTAATTTAAAATTTTATTTCACATTTATGCACTCTGAAATTCCAGAAGGAGAATTAAAAAAAAAATATTTAAAAGAGAGAGGGGCTGGGGCAGGGGTAGAGAAAGAAAAAAGAAAATTCCACTGCTTGTGTAAGCTCTAATATAAGTCATGGACATATTGTTTACTTATGAGCCATTGTTGTCTGGTGGTAGTTTAGGAAACATGTGAGAAAGTCAAACCATATTTCTGAAGCATGACAGACTAAATGGATCAGGAAGAATCACCGTAATGCTTCTTGGACCAAACTTGAGTAAATGTACTTTTCTGCCCAATGGCCACAGCTTATAACACTGTTCCTTGATTGCAAGGTTTCCTTTCCCTATGTATGTTTAGAAAAAGAGCTTTTGGCATCTCTGTGTAAGGTCTCCAATTACACCAGAGCCTAAGACCCTCAGAGTGGAAAACAGAAAATTTCACTTTAACCAATCATGTTTGGAGAGAGGGTAAAATAAAGATCATTTATGATAAAGTAGTCATTCAACAAATGTTTGTTCTTCCCCACATTGGTTTTCTCATATAGAATGATTTTCAGATTTTTAAAAATATGATCCATAGTAATTATTTTGCATTTTGATGTATTATTTCCTATCCCTCCCTCCCTCCATCCCTCCCTCTCTCTTTTTCTCCTTCCTTCCCTTTCGAAACTAATTCCCTTCTTGTCCTTAATAAGTCTCTTGGGACTCTCATATTTCTTTTTCAATTCTGTTCCATTTTGTAAGAAATATTGATTGAGAAGCATTAAATCGATTTCCTGACCTCCAGTGGATAATGAACAGTTATTTGAAAAACACTATTCTAGTGAAATTTGAATGTCCTCATGGGCCACAAAGGGTTAAAGTTAGTCACTGTACCCTAACCATACCACAGTACAATTATCAGAGGCATTATATATCAACAGATGAGAAACCTAAGGACTTCTCCTCTTCTTTCTTAATCGAAAAGGATGAAGAGATACAGGAAGTTATAAGAAATTAACAGAGTAAAAAGAGGTCTTTACTGTCTCTTACTAGAATTTCTTACAATCCAATCACAAATCAAGCTCAAGATGGGTTTGGTTTTCAAACTGGCTTTTTAATTACTGATAACACACCATACACACATGCTTTAAATTTGCTATTTGAACCATGATGTATACATGTAATATATTTTAAGAGTTCAAATTGTGGAAAGATTGAGACATGAGTCCCTAGAAAATTGAAATGACCAGTTAAAAGACAGACTGATCATGGCTCTGCATTTTGTGATTACTATTCTTAATTCTAATTTATATATTTTTTTCTTTCAAGGAAGTTTACAGGTTCGCTATCAGCTAGGCAAGGAAGAAACACATGTATTCACCATCGATGTAGAGAACTTTGCCAATAGAAAGATGCACCACCTGAAGATTAACCGAGAGGGGAGAGAGCTTGCCATTCAGGTATTTGCTTCCATTCTTTTTATTCTTCCAAGGCACCATGGCTCCTCAATCAAGCTATTCTGAGCTTCTGACCTAAGCCAAGTGCAGAGCCAGGTGTTGGGGATAGCAAAATGCAGCACACTTGGCCTCAGCCTTGGACCAACTCTCACAGTGGCTCTCAGAGGATGTTCTCTCACTTCCTGCTACCATCAGCATGACCTGGGATGACATTAGCAATGTGAAATCTTGAGCCTCACACATAGATCTACTTACTCAGAAACTATTCCAGAGGGGTAAGTAGCAGGTAACTCTAACATCTGCTTGAATTTGATAACCTCAAGTAGATTATAGTGGGGAACACAGGTCAAGAGAACTCATAAAATGTGGCAAGAGCTATGGGGGGAGTGAGCACAGGTGACACAGGAGCACAGAGGAGGGCACAGGTCACAATAGGCATCAGTACTTACCTCCTGTTTAATCATCTGTTTTGCTGCTGTGACTGACAGATCTGACCAGAATGACTGTAGAAGAGGAAAGATTTATTTAGGAGCTCATGGTAATTTCAGAGGTCCTAGTCCATAAGTGGCAGGCTCTATTCCTCGGAGCTCAAGGTGAGGCACAACATCACGGTGAAAGGATGTGGCAAAGGGACGCAGCTCACATGATGATCAGGAAGCAGAGAGAAAACTCTACTCGCCATATACAAAATATGTACCCCTTAGCCATGCTCCCAATGAACCACTTCCTCTGGCCACACCCCACCTCCTTCAGTCCCCACCCAGCTAATCCCATCAGGGATCAATTCACTAATCACATTAAGGCTACAAACTAGTCACTTCTCCTCCAAAGCTTCTTGCACCTTCTCACACATGAGCTTTTAAGGGACACCACATCCAAACCATAACACCTCCTAGTGGAAGTTAGGAGAAAAACAAGCCTTGAATGTTGAATAGCAATTGACTAGTTCAAGAAGGGAGAGAGGAGGGCTCAGGAAGGGGGTTCACATGAGCACTAGTAGAGCTATCTGAAAGAGCATAGTGTGTCTTTATATGTAGGGCAGACATTAGGTGAGGGCAGGTCTCAGTAGAGAAGAGGCAGAGTCTAGACTATCCCCTTTTCTAATAATAACCTCAAAGGAGCCCTAAAATCTATCTAACAATCACTCCATATTGTTTTAATCTATCCATTCTCCTGTTTTTCTATCTGGCCATTTTAAAATCTTTCTCCTTATAACAATAACAATTGCAATTTCATCTCCTCTACTTTACTTTCTTCTTTTGTGAAGAATATAGCATTCAGGAGAGAATATCCATACACTTTCAGTAGCATATTATGCACCTACTTGCACCTGACTTTTGCTCTCTCCTTCCTGTTGCTGAATTTGAATGGTTCATGATTATATTGAAGGTTTGACCTGCTATCAGAGGGATAGATCTCATAGCCTGCTCACAAAACTCACTTTAGCATTCTGTTCTCTTTCTATAACTTTTTACTATTTTTCCAGCTCTATTAGATGGCTCCCCAAAGCATAACACAGGCAATTATCATATGCGTTAACAACCAAAACAAAATAAACCATCAAACAAAAATCTTTCTGGGTCAATGGAAGAAATATCTTATACCTGATTTCACTGATTGTCCCATTTTTTTCTCTTATTGCCCAATTTTTTTTAGAAATGTTGCTTATATACTTAGCTTTCAAATTACCCATTCCTTTTTCTTAAACCCACACAAATGAGATTTCTCCCCTGTGCTGCACCAAAATTGTACTTCTCAAATCACCAATGGCCTTATCCTGAAAACCCCAGTGAGCATATATTTTTACTCTTCCTCTTAGTACCATTAACACAATGATTTCTCTCCACCCTTGGGACTTAACTGAGCTTTCAATTGCTTGGAGGATACCCCTCCTGCCTGTTCTGCCTCTGTTGCTCTTTCTGGTTTCTCATTGGTTTTCCCCCATCTGTTCAAACTCTATCAGCTAGAGCACAAAAGGACTTATTTTCAGATTCATTCTGTTTGGTCGTTACACTTACTCCTCGGCTCATCTCATTCAATTTCCCATTTTAAAAATGTCATGTCTATGCTGATGAATTAATCCCAACTGCATACCTAGCTCCATTTCTGGCAGATTGAAACCTGTCTCTTTGACTTCAACCTTAAGCTCTCTACTACCCTAGCCAGCTTTAACTGTTTTCTCTTATCACTTAATGCTACCCAACATACACAATGGAATTTACTTATTTGTAGAACTTTCTCTCTGGTCTCTTTTCCTATAAAAATGTAAGCTTCATAACAACAGGGATTTTTATATGCTTTCATTATCAAAAAACCCCAACATTACCAAGCACTGCTTGACATATGAAAGTTCTAAATAAATATTTGTGAAATACATGGATGAATTTTGCAGAACTGAAGAAAGGTCCCATGTGAAGGAGATTGAATTGACCTTATCATGAAGGGAAGGGAAACCACTGGATTTTATGAATGGGAATAGCATGGCCAAATTTCCACTTTCATGACTTCCCTGTGATCATTGGATAGAAATGTGGACATATTTGGGAGTGTGGACACATAAATCAGAGACCAGTCAGGAAGAGATAATGGGAGCCATGGAGAGAAAAATCTGAGAAAGTTCATAGAAGTAGTATCGATAGCATTGGGTGAGCTATTGGCTGTGGAATATAGGAAAAGAATGACTATTAATTATCTGAAGTAAATAGAAGTTTAAGAACAATAGCCCCAAATGGTGCAGCCAATATGGAAAACAGTTTGGAGATTCCTTGGAAAACTGGGAACGAAACCACCTTTTGACTTAGCTATTCCAGTCCTTGGCAGTGTATACCCAAAGGACTTAAAAACAGCATACTACAGGGACACAGCCATATCAATGTTTATTGCAGCACAATTAACAATAGCTAAACTGTGGAACTAACCTAGATGCCCTTCAGTAGATGAATGAATAAAGAAAATGTGGCATATATACACAATGAAATATTACTCAGCAATAAAAGGGAATAAAATCATGGCATTTGTAGGTAAATGGATGGATTTGGAGAATATAATGCTAAGTGAAGCTATCCAATCCCCCCAAATCAAATGCCGATTGTTTTCTCTGATATAAAGAGGCTGATTCATAGTGGGGTTGGGAGGAGGAGCAAGGGAGGATTAGACAAACTCTAGATAGGGGTGGGAGGGGAAGAGAGGGGACATTTAGATAGGAAAGATGGTGGAATGAGATGGATATCATTACCCTAAGTACATGTATGAAGACACAAATGGTGTCAGTATACTTTGTATATGACCAGAGATATAAAAAATTGTGTTCTACGTGTGTAATATGAACTGCAATACATTCTGCTGTCATATATAATAAATGAGAATAAAGAATAAAAAAAGAAGACTAATTGCCAAGTATATAGTACAAGTGAATCTAGAGTTATCAGGATTTAATTGGTTTACTTCTAGTAAAGTAGAAGTAGAAATAAGTAGAGGGAAAATCTCTGAGCAGTTTTGGATTGGGAATAAACTGGGTTAGGAAAGGAATGTTGACTTCTGACTTTTTTTTGACTGCAATCCTCATTGAAAAAGTAGGGGGTGAACATAGGTCTACTTTATCCTCCTTTATATCCCCTTTTTCCTTTTCCACAAATACAGATATGATGATGAGAGATTCATTTCATTCCCTCTTCCATCTAAATAATTTGTACTCATTAAGAAGCACATATTAGATGAAAACACATTATTTTCAAAGTACTGAGGTAGCATAAAGAAGTAGAGGAAAAGACTTTTGCTTTTAAGTAATTTTAATGGCATAGAACCATAACACACATATGTCCCTGTCACTCTTATCTCCCTCACCCATTCTAGATCTCTTCCTGTTCTACCCACTAGAATAAGCCCTTTAGTGAATATGTAGAGAAGCATTATATCCTCTGCCCCACTCCCAATCCTGTGGAGGAGATCTCAGGTACTACTCAAAACCTGCTGGAGAAAAGGGGACAGCTATTACCACAGGCAGCCAGCTATAATGCAATCTCAAGATTAGATTCCCCCAAAATACCTCACCTTGACTTGCTCTTTGTCTCATCTACTATGTTCTTTATGACCATAGGAAGGAAAACATGGAACCTGGGCTTGCCACCGAGAACAAGAACTCTTGGCAATGATATTGAGACTTGGAATTGGCTATTGATTTTTGTTTGTTTGTTTGTTTGTTTGTTAGGTCTGGGCAGTGCTAGGGTTTCATACATGCTAGGCAAACACTTTATTATTGCCTATGTCCCCATCCCTGTCTAGAATATTTTAAGGCTCAGATGCAACTCCTACCCCATGACCTGATGGTGAAGGTGAACTTTGGTGCCATTATTTAAAATGTACTGATAATATTTTACAAATGAGTCAGTTTAACCAAAGGTCAACAGAACACAAAGGAGGGAGCATTGTTTTAAAACCAACTCCTTAATTCATTTCTTTGAGAGTTGAAGATCCTGAGGTTAAAAAGCATCCCTAGAGGGACACAGGCTCAAGTGTGAATTCATGCTCTGTGGTCTTAGACAAGTTACTCGTCTTTCTGACCTTGAGTCTACTTATATATCTATGTCTACAACTGTATCTGTATCTATCTATCTATCTATGTATCTATCTATGTATCTATCTATCTATCTATCTATCTATCTATCTATCTATCTATAAAGATGAATGCAACCAGGCTGAGTCACTTCTTGTAAAGATTATATGGAAAAAAGTGAAGCTCAAGGACCACACACACAGCCTGGCATCTACAGCTTGCTCAAAAAAGATTTTTCCATTATCCTCCTTTTCCCATTTATTTAATGACTTGACAAGGTCACTGAGTGTTCTTGGTTGCTTCTGAGATTGGTGGAGCCTCTCTAAGTCACATTGAAAACTTTAAACTCTAGGTTTGAAAGACTATGGTACTTTACCTATTGTAAATACAGAGCAAAATAATACTAAATAATAAAATAGACATAAGGAAGTATGACAAAAATGATGCATTTCCCATTAACTCAAAATTTCTTAGTCCATATCATAGATACTGGAGTCTTATAAAGAAATCTTTGTGTAAACCCTTCCCCCCTTTTATTTTACTTTTGCCCTTTGCATTTACTTTTTCTTGGACAGGTAATCCAATACCTCAACCAGGATTATGGTTTGAATCTGGAATATCCTCTGCCAAAGCTCATGGTTTTTAAAGCAGGATCCACACTGTATGTTTTAGGCAAAAATGGGGGCACTGATAACTACCAATGCATTATCCCTTTGCTGGGTTAATGCATTGGTAGTTGAATGGACAACTGGGAGATGATTATATGCAGGTGGGACATGGATGGAGGAAGTAGGTCACTGGAGGAGTGGCTTCAACTGTGTCTCTCCCTGGCACTTTCCACTCTCTCCTTCTTGGCTGCTATGAACCGACAGCTTTACTCTATCTTCCTCCACAATGCTTCTGCCTTGGAACTAGCCAACCATATACTGAACCTATGAAACTGTGAGCCAAAACAAAATTTTTCTCATCCAAGTTATTCTTCTCAGGTATTTTGGTCACAGTAACAGAAAGCTGACTAACACACAGTACCAATGTGCAGGTGCCCTTCTCTATGCCAAGATGGGAACCATCCCCTAAGGCATCCACAGTGCATTAGTAATGTGAAGAATGCTTTGAGTCAGCCCACTTCCTCTCCCACCTTTTACAGACACTCATTTCACTAAAAGCCTCTTTGAGTATCACTTACCCACTTCTCTCCTTCATTCGTCATCGGGTTAAAGTGCTAAGGAGCAGGCAGAAAAACAGTAGGATAGGAATGACTCCGGTACTTGAACAATTGGCTCTTCCATGTGTGGCATTTGAGCAGAGGGTCATTGTCCCGGGAATTGCTTATAGATACTAGCCCTCTGGGGCCTGGTGAGGAGGTGAAGAGCAGACACCAGAGGAATCTCAACTCAGCCTACAGTTCTGAAAATCCTGCCATTACCCATTATGTGGCAGGACATCGTGGTTCACTTTAGCCTTTCTGCTACCTGGGCAGCAAATTATCCTGTGTCCTGCTGGAAAGAGTAAAAAGAGGCAGGAAAAAGTGCTACATTAGGATAGGAAGAAAACTCCTCTGGGTCAAGAGCTGAAGCCAAACCCATGAGCATTAAACAGACAAAGGATGGGGACCAAGAGTACTAAATACCTTGTGTTGTAGCTAAAGGTGTGGGGGGCACTAGAGATACTCTTGTTTTATGATAAACTTCATAGCACACCAGCTAGAAGGGGAAGTAATACAGGATGTTCTGTGTAACACTGCAAACTTTGCCAATTGCTGTGCTATGACCTACAAAATATATATGGATATATGGGATCTGAGCCCTCAAAGAGCCAATAAGTTAGTGTAGGGAGACTGAGAGAGAGCAGAATCATTATACTGCAATATATTAAATGCAAGGTTAGAAATAGAAAAAGTCATGATAAGAATGGAAAAGAAGGCAGCTAATCTTACCAATCCACAAAAACATTCTGGATGAGGTGGACTTACAGGGTTCCTATGGTCTGGCATACAACAGATTTCAATTATTTGTTCAAAGTGTACACTAGAGATTCAGAAATGGATACAGTGTTCATTTAAAAATCTCTCAAATATTTATTGAGGTATGACAAGTAAACTAGAGATGATATCATATATTGGGCGGCCCTCTTAAAGATGATCAAGTCATTGATCTCTGTGACGTCCATCTCTAACATGGAGATGATAATAGCTAATTCATAGTATTCCAGAGAGAAATAATTTGGAAGTATGCGTTATCATGTCTCATACATACCATTGTTTGATAAATCGCAAATATTTTTACAGAACAATTTCATTCATAAAATGGTAATAAAGCATATGATCATGTACCGTAGCTCATAGCCAGTAACTGGCAGAAACTGCCTCAGGACTAAGAAGTTGCAGAGAAGGATCACTGTGAGTAGACATGTATACTGCTCCCTGAGCTGTGCAAAGGCAGTCACATAGCCCCGGAGATTCTTAGTCTTCTCTTTTTACAGGTGACCTACAAGATAACAAGGAGTCTTTCTATGGGTAGCATTATATGGACACAAGAGTAGAGTCTGGAAGAAACAGGTTGGACTTGACTAGTCCAAAAAAAGTGTGGCAATGGATGGGGAGTGCTGCCTAGGAAACAGGAGGAGGGGAACAACGGGTGGCCCTGGAATTAGCAACTGAGTCAAGGAAGCATTCCTAAATACCCTAGAAATGCAGTCCTAGCAAACCTCAGAAGTGACTTTTGCTCAGTCCTGCAAAGGAAGGGTGATCTTCCAATTATGTCCCTGGCATCTGCTCAGTTAGCCTCTCCTCCTGCAGCCAAAATGTTTTGTCAAACTCCAGTTCTTTCCCAGGACACTTCTCTCAATTCACACCTGGATGAGACCAGGTCAGAATTAGGGCAGAAAGGAGACCATTGGTGGCCCTGAGGAAAAAGGGGAGAAGTGGAGAGCAATAGGAAATGACTGCCTGTTCCCATTCAGTGTTAATACTGTACAGAAAGTTCCTCAGCAGCTTTCTTTACTTGTTTATAGCAAAGAATTTGGTGAGAAAACTTCAGAAGGAAGATAAATTCCTGTCAAAAGCTCTAAAATTTCTGGGGAGAAGATGTCTTTGAAAACCAATATTTCACAAAGAAGAAAGGGATATTTTACATGAATTATGGGAAAACTAGTGAAAACATTCTCATGTCTCCCGAGAGAAGATCCTAGGGGAGTTCAGATGAGTGTGTTTTATGCCCTTTTCCTGAGGACCTTGGCTGATGGACCTTTGTTTTTGTTTTCAAACAGATGGACCAGCAGTTCCGGCTCACTTACAACTTCTCCCCAGCAGTAGAGTTCAGGACGATAAGGTCACTTGTCCTGGGTAAAGTCACAGGTCTGTTGTTCTACTCTGCACCTTTGCAATGTGATTTGTCAAAATAAACCAATAAATAAACAATATTTATTTTGAATTTTAGCAATTCATATCTGGAGCTTTTGCTCCCTTTATATCAAAGTTCTAGGACTAAAATTTCTGATACATAAAATTCTAAGATGCATGTATGACAGTAGTGGAGAATGGGATTTATTTCTCCTCTATAGAAACTTGGAAGAGGTAGATTGGTAAAGTAATTGAAATAGATAATAGAATTTTTAAATAATTTTATTTGAAAGTTTGCACTTAAGTTTTTTTCCTTTGATTTTCTTGATTTTTACTTAAAGACATGAGCTAAAGAAATTGGACTATTGAAAAGGGATTGGGATCTAATAGTGGATTTTTTTTCCTACTGCAAGTTTTGTGGATTTTCATTTTCTATATAAAGGTATTTAGTACATACATGCAAAGTTGAAATTTTTATATCTTTTTGATGAAAAGCATTTATCACACTAAATAGAGAGATTATTATCTCTTTTAACTTTATGTCTTTTGAGATTCAATTTATTTTGTCTATTAATAACACAGGTATTATAGCTTTCCATTGGTTATTGTTTGGCTGGTCTTTTATTGCCTTTCCCTTTCAACCTTTCCTTTTCTTTAAGTCCTGTATATGACCTGATGAAGAATATTCAGTGGAATTTTGATTTTTTTTAAATCCATCTGGCCATCTCTGCTTTTTATATTGGCAAGTGCTGGTCCTTTCATGTTTTGTGGTTACTAGTATAGCGGGAGCTTTTTCTGCCTCTTTATATTCTATTGGCCAATTTTTCTTGTGATTCTCTCATGCTCTTTGTTACTCTATCAGTCATAATGCAGTGCAGAAAACACTGATAAGTTTAGGCATTTTAAGGGGGAATAAACTTAACACAAGAAACTTTCTTCTTATGAAATTGTGTTGGAATTTAGTGTGGATTTTCTGAGGCCCTTTTGGAATGACTCCTTAGGAGTTCTGATTGGAGTAACACAGAGCTATGGACAGTTGTTTATTACCTACTGTTGTGAGCAAGAGTCCAGAAACCACAGTGGCTACAGTACAGCATATCAACTTGCAAGAGACAGGAGGTCTTAGAAAAATGGCTACAGAGTGTGCCCCATGCTATCATAACTGCTCAACAGTGAAAGAATTTAAAAGAAGGGAAATGATTCCTATTTCACTGGCCTTCTAAACTGAGAAAGAGTATATAATTTCCAGGACAAAACGTGGATCCAGAAACTTAAGTGTATTAAGTCTAGAAAACATCGATTTTAGTTTCCCAAGTGACAGCTAAATGAACCAATCAATAGTAAGCAAATTCTGGATATACTGTTGTTGGTTTCTTATCCTATTTCCCCCTCCTAGTTATTATATTTTCTGTAGATACTGTTTATATTTTTATTTACTAATACTGTCACTAGCTTTTTATTTCCAATTCCTTCCTGTGTCTCAGAACTTTTTACTATCTACCGGATTTGATTTTCTTTTTTCGAAACTAAATCCATTTCAATTATCTCTTTCCTGTGTCAAGGTTCCTTGACTGTCAATTTTATCTGGAAAAGAAAAAAAAAAAAACGTTTCATATCACCTTCATTCTCAGAAGATAATTTTGCTAGACACGCAATTCAACACTGAAGGAGATTTTTTTTCCTCAGATGTTGAGAAAGTGTTCAGAGCTGTGATGGAGACAGTCCTGGCTCACATTAGACACATAACACACATCTTTCTCCAGCTCTGCAATTAGTGATGTTACAATGGTACATTGGTATCTCGTATTGTGGATACTGGGGGGTGCTCATACTGTGGAAATCACAACACTGCATACCAAGATGCTGCCTGTCTCTTCCCCCTGAACAGCCAGTTTTAAATATTCACAAACATACCACTTTACCCTTGTCTTCTGGTTTCAGTCGCTACTGCTGAAATGTCTGTCAATTTGTCCTCTGACCACCTCTACCCACACTAAGCTACTTTCAAGGTCACCTCATTTTCTTTGGTCTTCTATAGTTCTATAATCTGGTTGTTAACGTTTTTAAGCATCATACTTAATCAGTTAGGCTTCCTGAATCTATTATTTAGTTCACATGCACCTATGTAAATAATTCATATGTATTATTAATCTGTATCTATCCATGAGTTTTTAAAAATTCTCAACATACCAAATATTTTCTTTAACATTTTCTCTATTTGATTATTTTAGATCTTTATTGGATAATGCTTTTGACTTTCTAATTCTGTCCTCATATCTCTTATTTTCCTCTCATAACGATTTTTACTCTTTGACACAGTAGGTTGCATTCTGGACAATAAACTGGCTTTATCTTCAAATAATTGATCCTTCATGTGTACCGAATGCCTTCTAAACTACTTGATAAGTCATTTTTTATTAATATGTCTTTAATTTCTTCAAGAAACATGTTGTTCTTTTGCTAAAATGTGGATCCATTAAGATAATTTCTTGCCCTTGCTCATTTCCTCTGTTTCCAACTTTTCCTATCTTCAAACATTTCACTAATGGCTGTTGAACTTTTGACTCTGCTAATTTCAGTATCTAAGGTCTTGGGGTCTAAATCTGTTACTTGCTACTTTCTAGCACTCTTCCATGGTAGCTTGCTTTTACTTGCTTTTATCTCTGTGTATGTGTGCATGTGTAGACTTGCACTGGTCCATACTTAGTAGAAATTAACTCGTAGTAATCTGGAGGCTAAAATATTGGGAAGCTTTCATACAGGTCAGGTCAGTTTTTTTTTTTTTATGATGCCAAATGCCAACAGGTGCTAGCAATTTCAATGCTACCAGTGTCCACTGGTGCTATCAGTTTCTCCTTATTATTATTATTTCTTATTTCCTGAACAGAGGAGGAATATAAATTGGAGTTTCAAATCTCAGTGAAATCAAGCCTCTTGGTAAAATTTCAGCAGATATATTGATAATTTTAATACAATATATCATTTCATTACCCTTTTGATTTGTTGTTTCTGTTTGTTTTTCAATTTCAAGCACACCAGATTTAGAAAGGATTTTACTTTATCCCATATTACATTAGATAATTTTTTTTTCTGATCCAGTTTTTCTTAAGTTGAATGTCAAAGTCTTGGTTTCAACATCTTCCCTTTTAAAAGGCACAAAGTTTGAAATTCCAAGTCTTTTCCAAAACAACTCTTTTTTTTTCCTCAGTGGAATGCTAATATTAGTTTTGGTTTACTATCTTGGTTTAACTTTCCTGTCTCTCAAAAAAAAATTCAAAAAATTCAAATACACAGGATTTCTCTTTTCTTCCTGAAGCTCAGGAAGGCATTAAAATTATGTGTGTTGGTTTTAATGAAGGAGAATTACGTTTTTGATTGTGCAATCTATTAACATTGTCCTATGCTAAGAATATTTTGGACCATCAAGACCTCACTTCAATCAAATCAGAAGAACCTTGATAGGAGAGATCTAACTTTCTCACCACAAAGCTCAGACCTTTTTCATAGTGCCTGATGGTGTAATGGAAGCTTCAATAATACCTCCCGCCTTTTTTCACTCCATGTATCTTGGTACTATGTGTGGCAAGCCTAGGACTCTTCAACCTATCAAGTTAAATGCACAATGAGAATAATACAGTGAAATTTTAAATCAAGGTATTGCATATTTAACACCTTGGTATTTTTTTCTGATACTTTGTGATGATCATCAAGCAGGAAAGAGTTGAGAGAGAACTTAAAAAAAATGTCATTATTGTTGTATTGTGGTAGCCCTCTGCCTAGAAATGAATGGACTTCCTTCCCATCCAAACTTCCGTTCAACAGGAAGATTTGGAGTCATGTTTGTGCTCCACATTTTTGGTCTGTGAAAGTTCTATAGCAGAATGTGAGGCTCATTATTAAGGAGGAATGTTATTTCTGGAACCATTAGAAAACAAAAGAACCAAGACTCATGCACCAGAGCGTAGAATGGATAGGGAGGGAATAGGAAGGAATGGTATAGAACCAGAAAGTAGAATTCATGCCAAATGCAACCTCACTCTGTAATTTTAGAAAATGGCTTTGTAGGACATTTTCAACTATAAAGTAAGGATTTACAAGCATTTTTCATCATAGACACTAAGAGAAAAATGTATAGAAAATTTGTTTGTTTTCTTCAGTACCACTAATAACATTCTACTGTAAAACAGAACCAACTTTGTTTATTTTCTTCTCATAAGAGGAAAGAGCAATTCTCTCTTCTAGAGTATTCTAGAGGACAGTGACTTAGTATCATTCTGCACCACCCTTGGTGCTTCAAATATGATATATAAAAAAGCTTCTTTTGTGAGGATTCCTATGATGTATACTTGCCCATGAAAAGAGTAGACGTGATCATCTATACCAAAACTGTATTGTTTGTTCTCTATAAATGTTGGTCATAATCTATAAGAAGCTGTGAATATTGCTAAGTCTAAGGTCTTTGTGTATGTGTGTGGGGGTGGATGTTACTGACATTCCTTTTCTTCCAAGGGGAATTACTTTGTTCTGATGAACTCTGTTAGTGAGATTAAGAGAAAGTAACATGAGAAAGAGAGAGAGAGAGAGAGAGAGAGAGAGAGAGAGAGAGAGAGAGAGAGAGAGAGAGAATGAATATGAATATGAGAATATATTTACAGAAATCATACAATTGGAAAAGATCTTTTGTTTCTGGAAATTTATTTTATTTGAAAGTAAAAATTGAGTGTTCCTCAGTTCAAGAAAAATGTAATATCTTTGTTTTTAGGTCTTTAAGGTGTAATTTGTTCCTATCACAGGAACATGGAGAGTCAGATTTTTCTCTCTCTCTCTCTCTTTTTTTTGGTGGTGGTGGTGTTGGGGGTAATGCCTGGGGATTGGACCCATGACCTTAATCATGCCATTGAATTACAACCCCAACCCAGTATCTGTTTATTTTTTTTCCAAACCTGATTTCTTTTACTGCCAGAGTGTATTGTTAAATATGATTGTGAAGTAAAAAATAAGCACTTTTTTGGTGG